TTACTTTCTAGATAATTATATCATGGTATAGTTAGATAATTATATCATAGTATATAATTGATGAAGTAGTCTTTTTGTTTTTACACACGTGCACTCTTTTTTGTTCGTTTCTTGCAGAGATAATCTTAGGATTTTTCCATCTTCTTACTTCAAATTTTTAGATGGTAACCATCGATAAAAATATATATGATGGTAACCAAATGGTTAATCCATTCGTACTTGATGATTTTATTTTTAGAATTCATCTAATAGGGCTGACTGCATGTTTATTGGTGTAGGAATCAGCGGATTAAGGGCTGTTTTCACTTGGAAACATATTGCTATCTATACTTCCAAGTGAAAATCGTTTTCAATGCTGCCTGATAACAGGCTGCTCGAAGAGGGTATCGAATCCGGGACCTCTGAATCAAGTCCCGTCGCTCTTAGCCGCTTACCTACAAGCGAGCCCATTCAATGCAAATGGCGTCAATAATAAGGTTACTCCATAAACAGATAAACCCATAACATTTTATAACGATGCTGAAAATTCATCTAAATGCAATATATAACATAAGTGTTTTAATTAATTGCTTATTCAAATATTTTGTATTTCTTTTATATAGTTATATAAGTTCTCTACATTGTATTCTCAATAATTAATATAATATTCTACTTAAGTACTTATATATTAATACTTTTAATATTTAATTAATATATTCACAGCTTACACTCGTCCGCCAAAATAAAATCATTTTTATTACTCATTTTAAAAAACAATCATAATTTCAATGCAATACAATTCCAAATTAAAATACTGATAATTGCATCTGATTTTATTTTAGTTAAAATTAAAAATTATAAAGCATCAGTAAATAATTCTTAACAGTTGAGCTACTAGATTTTGACCAATTGAACCTAATATAAATTAAAAATCCAATGATTTTTATAAATTTATATACTTTTTAATACATAATCAATTATGTTTATTTCTTTAAATATAATAATTATTTTATGACATGTAAGCATAGAATATTAAGATCGCGATCTTTTGATATAAGATCGTCATGAACTTGATGACTAGTATTTTGTTTGATTACTTTTTTATATTTTGCAAAAAAAAATCGGTTTATATAATATAAAACAAGTTATATATGTATATAAAATACACATAATTATGTATATATACATAATTAATTCAAGTATTTTTATGTATAATAGACCTATATAAATAGCTCAATTGTCAGTATTCGTATATAAAAAGATTTTAACATCTTTTCTTCGGCACAACTCTTAATTAAATATAATTATTATTCATATGTACAATTTATCCGGTTATGCGGTTTAATAATTTTTATATGTAAGAGATGAATAAAAGAAAAATTATAATTTTTATTTTTGGTTCGTTATATTAATAATAACAACAGTGTCCTAGTGCTTGATTATTATTTATTTTAAATTATTTATCAATAAATTAAATACTTTTAATCGAATACACTGAATTATAATTTGCAGTTCAAACAAATTTAATACTCTTCAAAGCTATTTACAAAGCGCTTTTTCAATAATAGGCATATAATATAAATTTGTATGATTATCAAAAATATTTTCTACATAATTTTACATAATAGGCTTAAATTTGATACGCAATAAATATGAAATTAATATCACATATATTTGGCTGCTAATATTACTGTTTGAGCAATGAGCACATAAATAGTATTTCATATGTATGAAGCAATTGTTAAAATAAACCAAAACTAATTATTGTTGTTAAACAATAAATAGCAAAACATAAAGATATAGATATAATAAATAAATATGCTAACAATAACTACTTAAGCATGGATAGAAATCATAATTTCATATAATTCACAAAGAACTATTTTCTATCGTCAGTTCTTACATAGTTACTATGAACTAATATTTATTATTAACGTATAAATATTAATATAATAGCTAGTCTTTCTGTTATTTAAATATTACAGCTATTCGTAATAATTAGGAATTTTTGATCCGCGTCAGCTATATTTATCTAACCAGAAATTATCACAAAATCAATGATAAATTATCTTTAACTCTATATAATTAATTTTAATTGGGACAAGATGAGATTCACTACAGGTACCTATTTGGAGAATAGCATCTCATATTAATAAAAAAAAATGCAATTTTTGAAAATAAATGAAGCGTAAACTAGATAATTTTCAATTGAAGTGGTTGATTTTTTAATTGAAAAATAGAACAACCCTAAAAATAATGAAATACTTTGAGAAATATATGTGTCTTCAAAACTCCGTATTTTTTAAACGAATGCAATCAAATTAAATAAAATATATATTTATAAATTCAATGATGTATTATTTCTAATTGCTCGTAAATATCATTGCTTCAGTAAAAACTAAACTCTATTTTACGCTTCATTTTTTAAAAAACGATAATAATTCAGTATCAATCATATCAATGTATGCGCGACACTAATTATATATAAAAATATTAGTTATAAACCCATAGGTACGATCGTATCCAAAATCAATCCATTTCTATAATTTCTTAATGAAAATAATAACTTTGATATAAGTATAAATATTTATAATATTATACAATATGGGATATTTTTAGGAACTCTAAAAATTCTACTTACTTTTTGGTATCAGTTTAGCTGTATAGATAATAATCTTCTATACTACGACCTGTATAAATATTTCATTAGAAATGCACTAGTTGTGTTTGTTATCCATAACTAATTTATATATCTAAGTTGACGATGTGCGTATTGTCTATTTCAGATTTTTTGGTGATAACTATTTATTGCGAACTTGCTGAATTCGGTGCTATATCCCTGATACATTTATCTGACATGATTGTGAGAATTTGATCAAATTTCGAGTGCCTTTCTTCTGCACTCAAAGTAGCTCCTTTGCTACCCCAGAGGAACTTCTGATGAAACTCAGTCCTGGGAAAAATGAAAAGGTAAGTTGTATAAAATCTTTACATTATTAATTTATGCAGTTAAAAACTGCATGTGCAGCTAGAAGCTTTATTAGGTTTTGTTATAATTTATCGTTTATCTTACCTGAAAGCGTCACAAGAGATGTCTTCTTCGGCGATTTCTTGTAGGACGCTGTTAGCAATTCGCCTAAAAGTGGCAACACTAGGCGCAAAAGATCTTGCAGCCTGCATGTGCTGAATTAAGGTGGTTAATCCAAAATCTGTAGAATTTTGTTCCCAACTAGCTAAGCAGCTATTCGCAAAACCAGTACTATTAATCGCAACTGAAAAATAGTAAAATGTCTATTCTCTATATTCTATAAATCATTTGAAAATTAAATAAATTATAGATATCAATTTCTAGTTAAATTCAATTGGGTTTAACTTTTACCTTGAAAATCATCGAGATCGCGTTCCATCAACAGTGCGATAGGCAGTACATGAGGTATTGTCGTATTGGGAGCCTGAGGATTATGGCCTTCATTCATTGCTTTTAATGTAGGCCTCAATTTAGCTTCAAATTGAAAGGCACTGTCCGTATGTCTTTGTCTCAGAATATGCCATGATTTTTCTAATTTTTGAATCTAGAAAAATAATAAAAACTATCATTAATTAAAGCCAATATCGGATAAAAAAATATGGTATATTTCTTGATAGTTTTATTATGTTCAGATGTTTAGTATGCATCTAAAATTCTACAATAAAAAAATTTAACTTTAGAAATTCTTAATTATTGTTACAAGCTTTAATAAGTACCTGTGGCAAAGATAATCCAAGCATAATTCCACAAAAACCATAGAGATTTCCAAGTGCGGTTTTCGTATCAATGGCAATTTGAATCCATTTATGTAAAATCGCAGCACGTTCGAGATCTGAAGCACACGTTAATATTGTAACTGCCACCATCAACTTTAAGCATTCCGTCCTAAAATTGAACAATAAAACATTTATATCTTCAAATTATTAATCACGTTATTAAGCTGTACTTCCTATTTACCTTTCTATCAAATCTAATCTAAACTGATGTCCATGAGGTAGACAAATTAACTCTAACCCAGACTGAAGTCTCAAAGCGTCCAGGTCTGATTTATTTTTTACTTTATTTTCTGAATTTTCTTCAGCTTTTTCTATACATACATTCTCTTTGTTATCTTCTTGTACTCCTAACATAAAATCTATATCCACTTTAGTCAAATAATTGGCTATTATTCTAGATCCCGTCTCCACTAGCATATCTAGTACACTACGTAAGGCATTCACATCCAGAGGTTTGTTTTCCGTTGCTGGTAATAATAGGGTATGGAAACTTTCGACATCAAACCTAAATAGATATAAAAAAACATTTGAAATTTCAATATTTATTGTTGATAAAGATATAGAAAACAGTAACATTATTACTTCTGTTACCTGCTATCACAGCGCAATTCAGGTGTAGGTGATTTTGCTAATCTTTCTTCTGCTGCTGCAGCGTCAAATTCAACAAAATTTTTGAGAGTTGTACTTGACGCCGAACTTACTATATAATGTGGATTTTTTATAATAACTCCGCTGTGTCTGTGATTTGGATCTAAAGCAGAATCGCCAGTAGCTGAACTTTGTGCCGAATCTCCACTGCCATTTCCTGAATCCGATCCGGATGCCTAAAAAATCGATTAAAATTTTAAATTATTTTATGGGTAAACGCTTGAAAGCTGATGACTTGTAAATATATGTTTACCTGATAATTTGATGCTCTAGGTGGTAAAGATGAAGTTGGCATCCTGCATGGTTTTGGAGGGGCTTCTCCATAAATCTCATCGCATTCATCCGGCACTTCAAATTTTCTCCTATCAAGTCTCGGAGATCTTGAAGCTCGAGATCTTGGTAAGGAATGTGTATTAAAGGATTCGCCTCCTAAAAGATTGAAAGTGGAACAAAACGATTCCATGAAAAATTGATTGGCACATTTTACTGTAATCAATATTTTTCCAATATACATAAAAAATATATTAAAAAAGTATGTTATTCCTTACCGGTAGCTCGAATGATTCCATCCGCAGAATTTGCCTTTTCATGGTCTCTTTGTTTCTTCATGGGCAACCTTGGAGGTTGACCACAATGCCTGTTAGTATACGGATTCACCCCTGGTAAAGGGCCCATAACACCTGTATATTGTGTACTATAATGTGACAAAGGTTGCGTCCTGTTGCAGGGAAATTGAATCCTTGCTCCCGAGGCAGACGTGATGTGTGTTCCTGATCCGACATAGTAAGTAATGAGATCAGGAACTGTGTCGTAAGCATCATCTTCGAATCGATATTGAAGTCGTTCGTAGACTGTTTCTGGTTGTAGGAGTACCTTAAAATTGAAATAATTTAATTATAATAATAGATGGACGTAAGCAGATTGATGGTAACCTTCAAGGCTATGAACTATTAGTTTTACCTTGTTAATAACGAAATGCAAAGGCGTGCCCTTCGATTTACAACTCAGCACATAGTCCCCTGGCTGAGATGAACAATCTCTGACCAGGAAATCGCCATCGTTGACCAGAAGTCGTTCTGCTCGAGCTCTGGGTATTGGTCCATGGTACCAGCCATGTGATCTTAGGTCTCTGGCGTCGAGTGATAGCTCCTGTTCCAGGGCAATTCGCAATTCTCTAGGACTTGATTGAGTCTTCTCAACAGGGGTATCCTGATAAAAATATCAAAAAATATGGATAATAGAGTAGAACCTTGATTATCCGGACCTCAGTTATACGGATTCGCGATTATCCGAACTAACAACCGCGATCAATTTCAATGTATGTACATACCTACAAATCGAATTTTTACACGATTAATGCTGCAGTCCAGATTAGTATATGTATGTAATGTAATCGAAGAAAATATGTAATACATAAGGATGTGTTAATTTCTTAATAAAGATTGATTTTGGTTGACATCTATGTAAGTAATTGTTATTTTTAATAAATACCCAACATTATTCATCATACTATCGATTATCCGGATTTTTGATCATCCCAATGCCCATTGACAACAATTAGTCCGGTTAATCGAGATCCTATTGTATGTTATAAAAGTAACGACTAATTAGTCAAATCCTTATTAATTTAAAATAAAATTGTTAAATAATATGCTTGTATTGATTTTTAACGATGATTAATACAAACACATACAAATAATTGCATTTCGACATTAGATTAGAAAGTTCATGAATTACCGCAGCAACTTTAACACCTCGACATGTAATTAAAAGTTGACATTGATTTGCTATTTATATATATCAAACTGTTTGGAAGTATATTTCATGTATATGAATTCAACGTTTAGTATTATTCCTAATAATTATTAGGAATTATAAATATCCAAATGAAACTTACCATAATAAGATTGCATAAACTCTTGGTTTGTTTGGTGTCGCAGTTTGGAGTAATTTCAGAACTGAAAATTAAATAAAAAACCACATTATTTAAGAAGTAAAACTTCTCAATATCTAAAAATCACATCATTCAGATAACTATTATTATTCATACAAAAATAGGTAAGAAATGTCAAATACCAATTTTTATCTGTTTCTCAGCCTATTTTTACTGTTTTGAAACTGAATTCTTTTCAAATGTTTTAAATTTATACAATGAATATGTAATCATAAAATCACATCTAATTTAATTTAATTCTATAAGCTTACAATAATTTCTAAGAAAAGTTAGAAATTTCATGTGGTAAATGCATTTGATTACAAAGCGATTTGGTCCAAGTTGGTGCCAAACTAGCACTAGAGGCAGGAAATTTCCCTAAACTACACCTCATAAAACTAAGTACTACTGCTTAAGACTTAGGGTTCAGTACAGATTATCCTATAGGGCCAGTTAGTAGGTAAAGAGACATACAAGAGTATTTTCTTAAGTCACTTATTGTGACGAATCCGGGAAATGACATAGTGAATATTTTATAACCCGGAACAAACAAGATTTTCAGTAGACAGAGTCGGAACAAAGCCTACCCACTAGGAAACAGCCAAAGCTGTATTTTCGCATAAATTTTATTAGAGATTTTGAACTATTTAGCAATATATGTGGTGATCAACGCTGAAATCCGTGTTCCAGCATTAATCACCTATGAATTCCAACTCTAGTTTGATCACCTACGAATACCTACACCTACACGAGGTGAGCGAACTTCAAATGAAAATAGAAAAAATAAAGAAAATGAATTTGAGAATGAGACATAATATATGAGAAATAGACACGTTTTCCAGAAAGAATCCTCAGTTTATCATTTAGTATAAAGTTTCAAATAAGTTTTCCATTCTTTGGAAATCTTTATCAAATTATTTATTGGACATATATTTATCGACTAATCACTTGTAGTATTATGAAGGATAGCCGAAATCCAATATACGAAGTATAAGTTTTACTCATTACTTAGTGAAAGTAATGAAGAGAAGGCAAGTAGATAGTCACTAATGACATATTTTGTTTTTAATTCAGATTGGTGAATATTTTATTTGAACAGTCGATATATTCTCATTAAATATGAAGCAAGGAAAAAATCATTTACACCTATATCAGTATCATAACAACAACAGTTTCATGGTCTGATATTAATTAAAACAGAAGTCAAATAATAATAAAGAATACAATAACAACGAATATAACAATATAATAATCAAGAATGTAACCAACTAATAATAAAGTATTTAACAATTATAATTGGTCAAGAAAAAATAAAGAAAATGAATTTGAGAATGGGACATAATATATGAGAAAGAAACACGTTTTCCAGAAAAAGTCCTCAGTTTATAATTTAGTATGAAGTTTCAAATAAGTTTTTCATTCTTTGAAAATCTTTATCAAATTATTTATTGGACGTATATTTATCGACTGATCATTTGTCGTAGTATTATGAAGGATAGCCAAAATGCAATATACGAAGTAAAAATAGTTTACTCATTACTTACAATTAGTGAAAGTAATGAAGAGGAGGTAAATAGTTAGTCACTAATGATATATTCTGTTTTTATTTCAGATTGCAGAATAATTTATTTGAATAGTAGATATATTCTCATTAAAGGCAAAAAATCTTTTACGCCTATATCAGTATCATAACAACAACAGTTTCATGATGTGATATTAATTATTACTACACAAACCAAATAATAATAATGAATACAATAACAAAGAATATAACAATATAATAAAAAAGAATGTAACCATCCAACTAATAATAAAGTATGTGACAATTATAATAATCAAACTGTAATTATATTATTTGTATTTACTAAAAGTAAAATTTAATTTTACTATGACTTGCAGTTGTAAATAATATTCTGAATATAATTTAGATTTTTCATTTACGTTTTTTTAAATATTAAAACTAATAATAGCAAGGAACATAAAAACGTCGAATAGTATGTATTAATAAATGTATTTTCTTATGTTTGTATATTCATATATATATATATATATATATATATATATATATATTTATATATACATGTAATTAATTAGTAGTTATTTTTTAACAGGTTACACTTACATTTTTTTATCTAATCATCCGAACAACAATAACATTATTTTTGAACACACAATTTTCAAAACTTCGTTAGGTATATTATAAAAAATCACATATCAAATATTCACTATTTATATGCAAAACCACTATAAAACTTACAAAACATTGAGCAATTAGTGTACAAATCACAATATAAAAAGCTACATTTTATTTTCCTATAGGCCTTGTTTGTTTTGGTGTGAAAGATTCATAACGCCCACCGTAAAGGAACGCTCATGAATAAAAACTAGGCACCGAGGCTTTTTAGCAAAATTACTACATTGTAAAAACTATCGGTAAAAATATTATTAACAAAGTAGTTACAAACAGTTGTGCATATTAGTGTTGCACAAAATCAACTATTATTTCCACCTAGTAGTAAAGCTGAAACGCACCCCCACCCTTCACAACCCCTGTTATACTACAATGGAAAGATTCTGAAACTTACATTGATAAAACGAGTCTTAATAAAAGACAAACAATTAAAATACTATTTGAAACTTTTATAAGGTATTCATAAATATAATACTATTTATTTACGTCTTTGAAATAAATGTAATATTGTATGCTAATAATGCCAATTATAATAGTTTTTTTTTGACTATCAGAAATACTGAAATATATTTATATTTAGATTTTTTTTATTAAAGATAGAATTATGTATATTTTTGCAGATTTTCAATCAACAAAAGTAATTTCACATATAAATATCGTGTCTGCCACATCTTCATAAGCTATAAATAATACAGTTCAATTTTTAATACCAAAAAATAAATTATTTTCATCACTTATTTCATAATTTAAAAAATAGTATAATATTTTATAAAATTTATATTTATAATTCATATTTAAATATTATTCTATTACAGATATTAACAAATAAATATATTACCAAAATGCCCAATTATATTCTCTATTTTAATCGTATAATAATATATTAAACATATAATTACGATTTTTTATATTTATCGATAGAATTATGAAGATTATTGAATTATTATTGAATTATTTGGAATTATTATGAAGATTATTGAATTATTATTGAATTATTTGGAGAAAGAATTAGATACCTACATGGAGTTTTTAGTGAAAATTATCGAGTTCGTATGTTGTTTTTGATAGATAATTTTGAAAAAATGAATGACTAAGAGTAATCCATCTGATAAAAGATAATAAAAATATATGATCAATATTATTATATTCTATTGAATTTTAATACAATGTTGTATTTATAAAAAGTGATATCAAACGTGACAAATATTGTGTAAAAATAATATTTTCAAAAAGCTAATGCTTTTTCTGAAGACCTACATATACGAGTATTTGTTAATTTTTTACGTTATCACATTATCATTATTTGAATAAAAATTTAGGGTTTTTTATTGGCCTCCCTTATTTAGAGCATTTAGCCACCTACAATAATTAATTTTTGTGTTTTACACTATTTTTTATTTATATCCTATTCTATTCATTTTTTTGCTTTTCACAACTGATTTCTTCATAATTTTTTCTCTTCTAAATATGACCTTCTCGAATTCGAATCTTGTTTTTTTTTTTCTTACTTTTTATTGTTTATTCAAATTCTATTCAGCAATCAAATTCTATTTAATTTTAAATTAACTATATTTTTCAAAATTCTAATTATAAGTCAATGACAGGATTTAGAAATCTTAGAAGATGCCCGCCACAAAATTAAGACTTAGAAAGGCATGTTTCGTAAAAAAAATAACTTTAAATATAAATAAACAATATGTCATTATTTATGATATTATGAAAATAGCGTCGTCAATTTTTTTTTAATTACTATATTTGTTACAACTGCTAAATAATTAACGTCTAGTAACAGTAATGACCAATTTAATAACAGTAATGATATATATATGACCAATTTAATAACAGTAATGAAAAATTCAATAAAAAGAGCACAAAATAAAGGATAGAATTTTCAATAAAATGATATCCGTAGTATGTTGATTTAATATAAAATAAAAGCAAATAATAATAATAAAATTAATAAGTAAAATAAGTAAAATTTCTGATTAATAAAGATAATACTAGAAAAACAATAAAGTAGACAATATACAATAAAAAATAAAGTGAAAAGTAACAAAATAACAATATTAGAAATAATAAGATAATAATATAATAAATGCGTCGTCAAATTAGTATAATTTGAGTCATAGTATAAGAAAAATTTTAACTATATTTTTTCCATAAAAAAATTGATACAGAATCCCACAGTTTGATCGCGTCTCGCCCCGGGAGTGATATTGATTCGCGCCCCACCTCGTCTCGCGGGGTAGTACGCTCACGGCGCCCATTCACCGGCCGCCTAGACCCGTTCGCACACACTACGCGATATTGCGCCCTCGCGGCTATTACACCCATGCGCGGGCCAAATGCATTGTGAAATGCATTTCGGTTCACCCTACCTTAGGGGCGCAAAGGATAGAGTAGTAGAATTGAAGATGGTTTGTTGACCTCGGATTATTTTTTTGAATTAGTAGAATTATTTCATGAATTTTGCATTTTTTGATTTTTTTGAATTTTACAATTTGATGATTTATTTTGACTTTTTTAACTTCCTACAGGGTAATTAACATCCCATAGGGTAAGTTATAGTAATCGCAAAAAACCGAAAATGAAATTTTGTATATATCTTTACGTTCCAGAGGTTTCTGAACATTTTGGCATACCTTAGAAAAAATATATGTGTGTTTGTGGGTATGTATATGTGTGTGTGCGGATACAAATTTTTGTCGACGATTTCGGGAACACCGATCAACCGATTTCAATAATTCAAAAAACATACGATTCGTATTGATAAGGAGACATGCTGATTAGTTTTTGGTAAAAACAGGTCTAGCCGTTTTGAAATTGTGGAGCAAAAAGTGCAAAAAGCGGTAACTCAGCTTTTAAGAGAACAGAGCGTCCGAATAATTCAAAAAACATTTTACTTGTATTAACAAGATGAAGAACTGATTAAATTTTTGGAAAGGCAGGTTTAGCGATTAAGGACTCTCAATAAACATAAGTTTAAAAAATGTCATTTAGCGGTCAAAAATGTTTTTGTACATCAAATTATCAGATATTTTGTAGAGATTTTAATAATGTGTACAAATTTTATGTAAATTTTTTTGGGTTTTATACCAAGATTTTTGCTTACGGTACGGGAAGTTTTAGCAATTTACCTTAAGTCACGATGCCATGCACCCCACTAGTTAATTTATTTATAAAAATCATTAGTTTATTAGGGTAGAGCGAGTCCACTAGCGACATCTCAAAAATCAAGAGTGTTAAGTATGTTTTACCAGCAATATTTGAATGTAAAGGGAAAATGACTTGAGTTTACACCTTGGTGGGGTAAAAAGGACCGACTAAACCTTTACTCCGGGAAAGATGTAAAAAATAAAAAAATAGCAAATAAATACCTAAATAAAGTTTTATAAAAGCTATTTTACGAAAGCTAAATTAAATATATCATTATTCCAACTCTGCTGATAATTTTTTTTTGCAAATTACCAGATCAAGGTTTAAATTGTTTGAATAATGTGGCTATTATTTCGTAAAATCCCCTTAAAATTGAAATAAGACATTGGACTTGTTTGCCACCTGACCACTTTTTTATACTGTCTATGGGGTAAAACGGATCAGGTCTGTAAATATTTCAGTTTTAATAACATAGATTTTTAAGTTGAATCAAACTATACATTTGAATTATTTAATTATTAGGATAAGTTTTCAATTTTATACAAAATAGAGAGCGTATATTTGTACTTGCGGATTAACATTATTAATTATTATTAAAATATCATAATAATAATATTTATAATTTAAATACAATTCAAGAATTAACTCTTATCGAATGCAGTGTCTATTTTATGAATAAAATGCATCACATTATACAATAAAAATATATTTTAATTCATTAAGTATATTCAATAAATAAATATACCTATATCTCTTTAATGTGTGTTGCTACCTTGACACTATCTCTTTTGATTTGTTACAAAAATAAACATTCGATTGATTTGGACGTATATATTGCAACTATTATACATGCGATATAAATACACGTAGTATTTTGAATTAGTTTCAGATAAAAAATTTTAACTAATAAATATTTTATTAGTAGATTGTTCGAATTTCACCAATAAAGTCTGAAAGAAATATGTCTGATAAAACGGATAGAAGGCGTTTATTTTATCCAAAAGAGTTTTTTATAAATTTCTTAAAAACAAATCACGATTATTTTGTTGAAAGTAAATTAAATTTTAAAATTTTTAGTTTTAGGTTATAGATATTATTTTTACCTTAAAAATTACGAATTCAGATTTTGTTTTAATAAGTGTATACATGCACCTATAAAATCAAAATCTTTAAAATAAAAGCTATAAACATTACCCAATTACTCAAGAATTTTTATAACTTTTTCCTTTCCATTACAAATGACAAAATAAATTTATATTGAGCATTATAATTTTTCTACACGATACAAAACTCTTCTACCACTTTTACCCCAAAAATATATTCCCGTCTCGTCATAGCTTAGATTTAAATCTAGAACAATCATTACTATTCATGCCATTGATGTTCTGATAATGAAAACATGTCGCAAAACATGGCCTATCAGTCCCAGACGTCAGACATCAACCCTCAGCCCTTGTAGAAGTGCCAAATATTCTATCAACCCTTATTTATACATACGAATACATAGATACAAATTCAATTCGATTCAATAACTCCCCTTACATAGAAAACGGCACGTTTAACAAATCATTTCATTTGATTTCATACAATTATTGGTTACTGAATTAAGGTATTGGATCAAAAAAATCTAATGGACTGAGATAAATGTCTCAGATTTGGTAGCAATTGCTTATTTACATAAAAAATGTGATTTTAAAAATAGTTATTTCATATTTATCAAATTTAAAATAATAAATAAACATTAAAGAAAAAACTTACCGCACATTTTTCTTGGATCCATCATCTAGCGCTACGCTGTGCCTCATGTGCATATGTTTTTTGTAATTGTTGTTTCCTGAAAAAAAAATTATATTTTTTTTATTTATTATAATGTATGGATTAACTAGTTGGGCGCATGACATCGTGTCTTAAGGCAAATTGCTAGAACTTCCCGCACCAAAAATTATTTTTTTTAAAAGGATTCACATTTTTGAAAAAAAATTACATTGAAAAAAATAGATTTTTGAGAAACTAAATTTTTGCAAAAATTTACTTTTTTTTTTTAAAAAAAAAAAGACTTTTTGAATGAAAATTTATTTTGAAATATTTTAGAAATTCTGAACTTTTTTGCAAAGCAATCGTACTGCTTTAACTGCATAGAGACGAAATATCGAAGCGCGTAAGCGCCGCGTCGCCGTCTAGCGGATAAACATTGGTACGGAACCCATAGGAATGCAAATTTGCTTATTGTTAAAACTTATTGTTAATATCTATAAAATATCTGATAATTTGATGTATATGTCTAATGATCATTTTTGACCGCCAAATGGTATTTTTTTTACTTTTTTTTACTAGATCTACGAAACCGCTAGACCTGCCTTCATGAAAATTTGATCAATTTTTCACACATACACATACACACACATACATCCATTTTTTCTAAGGTATGCTAAAATGTTCAGAAGGTTTTGAAACGTAAAGATATATAAAAATTTTCATTTTCGATTTTTTTGCGATTACTAAAACTTGCCCCACGGAAGTTAATAAAATTAATTAATATAATTAATATAATTTTTTAATAACATCGAATATTTTTAACAGCATATATTAATTCTAAATGAAGGTAGAACAGGTGGATGTTTGCGAGTTTACACAAATCAAGTATTTTCACAGATTATATTATAAAACTAGCTGTAAGTGGAATTCTGTCTTAAGGCAATTAAGGCATCGTGCCTTAAGGCAAATTGCTGAAACTTCCCGTACCAATTATTATTATTTTTTTAAAAACGATTAACATTTTTGAAAAAAAAAATTACTTTGAAAAAATAAGATTTTTGAAAAACTATAAATTGGACAAAAAATTACTTTTTTTTGAAAAAAATTTTTAAAAAAAAAAATTTTATTTTTTAATTTTTTTTTTTTTTGAAAAAAATTTTTTTTTGAATTTCTTCCATATTGTGGAAGATCTGAACTTTCTTTTCAAAGCAATCAATCGTACTGCTTTAACTGCATAGGGACAAAATATAAAGCGCGTAAGCGCCGCGTCGCTGTCTAAAGCATAAGCATTGGTACGGAACCCATAGGAATGTTAACAAATTGTATACTTATTATTAAAATCTCTATAAAATATCTGATAATTTTATGAGCATATGTCTAATGATCATTTTTGACCGCCAAATGGCTCATTTTTTTACTTTTTCCTCCATATCTCCGAATCCGCTAGACCTACCTTCATGAAAATTTTATCGATTCTTCATCTTGTCAATACAAGTGAAATGTTTTTTGAATTATTCAAATCGGACGCTCCGTTCTCTCAAAAACTGAGCTACCGTTTTCGGCACTTTTTGCCCCGTATCTTTGGAACGGCTAGACCTGCCTTCGCCAAAAACTAATCAGCACGTCTCCTTATCAATACGAATCGAATGTTTTTTGAATTATTCAAATCGGTTGACCCGTGTTCCCGAAATCGTCGACGAAAATTTGTATCCGCACATACATACACACACATACATACATACATACACACACATACACACACACACATACATCCATTTTTTCTAAGGTAGGCCAAAATGTTCAGAAACCTCTGAAACGTAAAGATATATAAAAATTTTCATTTTCGATTTTTTTGCGATTACTATAACTTGCCCTACGGGAAGTTAATAAATTACTATCGAGTACTTAAAGCTTTTATAAATCTATTAATATTTTGACAAATAGAAAGAAATCTATTAATATTTTGATCATCAATATAAAAATAATATAAAGATATCACTATTTTTTTATTATGTATCATGTCACATTAACAACAAATCTTTAACCCAAAATAATATGTTAAATTTTCATTGAAAATTCTGGAACATTTTTGCAAATATACGAGATATTTGCCAGATTTAAAATTAACACCACATCCTTTCCTATATTACACGGAAACACAAAATTAATATACTCAAATATAAATAACACAAACTGAGTAAATTTTTTATGTATTTGTATGGAACCCAGATATGTCTCGAGAGATAAATAATATTTTAACAAATAATCAAATATAAATTTATATTAAATATATTATTTTTTTCTCTTGCCTATACAAGAAGTCATCAACCAAACCGCCTTGCTCGGCATCTTAAGCACTTTTATTTTCATAAATCACTGGCAAAAATTTTCAAACCGCACTGCCGATCGACCATTTATCGATTGACTCATAAGTCTGAAGAATGAATAAACTGTGACAAGGATTCTAGAGTTATTGTACGACCTAGGATTATGTTTAGAATGAAACTAATAAGTCCGATTTTAATTATTATCAAGTCGCTAAACATTTGATGCACTGATGCTTAAAGAAGTAAGGTGCGTTCAGAACTGATAGTTGCCAAATAATTGCATTCAGTAACAACTTTGTTATAATAATGATAATAATGACAATATATTTTTATAAAATAATAACAATAATTGAATTTGTAAAAATTTATTATTGAGTCAGTAATAAAATATATGTATAACAACAAGTAATAAGTAATTAAAGACTATTTAATTAATATTTTTGAATATATATTGTTTTTCATATTGGCATTTTGAACTAATTTTATTTGAGTACTTCCGATTTGTAGGCAAAGTGTTTGGTTCTACATTACAAATTTTTACTCTCTATATTAATAAACCTTTAATAACAATGACTAAAAACTTGTGTTAAACAGCCGAAAAATCAAGACTATTCTACAATTATATAGGTCCACATGAATTATGTCTGATTGTCGAATAACTCCTTAAGTTAGTAAATATAACATAAAATTTAATAATTATTTAAATCCTTTTCCAGATCTTGTAAAAAAATATTTGAGTAAAGAAAAATAAGTTGAGCAGATTTTGGTGACTATTATTTGGTGAATATTAAACAAATTGTTTCTTTATAGATAAAAATTGAGGATTGGTCCAAATTGATTAAAAACAATTCTCTGAAAGTTTTAGCTCTTAATATTGTCTTTTACATAGAGCGCAATTCAATCAAAGTTTTGTATGGAAATAGCATAAATACTCAGAGCGTCGAATTTTCAAAAAAAAATTACACGAATTTTCACTTTTAATTCATTTGTCGCTAAGTTATACCTAAATTTTTTTTTTAATTTTCAAAATTTTTTCCATGTTTTTCCATGCGAAGTTTGAAGCACTATCTAAAAGTTAATATTAAGAGCTAAAATTTACAAAGAATAGTTTTTTATCAATTTGGAACCATTTGAGCACTTGGGGGCAAGGAAATTCGACAATGTTATATATATATATATATATATATATATATATATATTATAATGATTCATTTGCCTAATGTGAACGCTCTCCACATATTTTTTGATGCATTGTAGTTCACAAAAATAGCTTGTGATGTACGTCAAAGGAATTACAAACATGTGGCCAAAACATGCTACAGAATTTTATTATTGTTTATACTTATTTATTTCCACATGCATTCGTAAGCTGACTGTCCAAAAATGTTTATAAAACATTCTTAGGTGCATCACCAGTACCGAAAATAAACCGGAACCTATATTTCAAATACCAAGAGGTAGTTTTGCGGTTTTTTTGTTGTAAAATTTGAACTACTTTTCTGAATACTTTATCTATAAAGTTGCATGGGCAATATTAATTTTGTAATAATTCAGGATAAAAATTTCAGGATCAGGATAAAATATTTTATGCCATCTTATTCTTTTTTTTCATTTTACAATTGTGCAAAATAACAAACAAGTTAATTTATATGTTTGCTTTAATGATACATATGTGAATATTCTCATAATATTCATATGAGATTTGATATAAAAATAATAATTCTCCAAACATGCATAAATTCCCTGAAAATTCGGTGATTCATTGGTGCTTAAGATGTATAAATATCCTCTTAATTATTATACATACATACATATTTATATCAACGTACTTCTGAAAACATATCAGTATTTTAATTCAAATACAATGTGTAAATGCAGGCTAATTGTTTATGAAAATGTTTTTTGATTTTTCTCATTTTATGGAAATGATTTTTAAATCTTTGTAATAACTAAATACGTTAACAAAAACATTAATAATTCAATTGCAAAAATCAATTCGGCGTCTTCTAGATACAAATGAATGAAATGAATTATGCTTATGTAACATTAAAAGCTCTAAAATATTATGTAGTGAAAATGTGATGCACAAAAGCTCTGAGTTTTCCTTAAATGATTTAATTTTTTTTGAAATTTTTGCAAGGAAACAATTATGGTTTGTAATTGGGTTCAGCATTTCATATATACATTAATATTTTCAAATACTTTCATTAAACCATATCAGTATTTTAATTCTTAATGTGCAAATGTGTAAATTGATTGCATTCCTAAATCCTGATTGTTCATGAAAATGTTTTATTGATTTTCTCATTTTATGGAAATGATTTTTAAATCTTTGTAATGACTAAATACGTTAACAAAGACATTAATAATTCAATTGTAAAAATAAACTCGGCGTCTTCTAGGTACAAAAGAAAACGAATTATGTATATGTTATATCTTATATATAAAAGCTCTAAAATATTATGTAGTAAATATGTGATACCAAAAAGCTCTGAGTTTTCCTTAAATAATTTAATTTTTTAATAATTTAATATCCTATGTGATGGGTTGAAAAAAACGATTTTTTTTATAAATTGCTCCCTTAACCTGTCTAGAATACGGTAGCAAAGCGATTTTAGAAAATTCGAAGTCGTTTTAAAGATACAGCAGGCAAAAAAAGAGCGGTTCGGAGCGCTGAGTTGGAAAGTTGAAACTTTAAACGCGTTTTTCTCAAAACTGTGTTTTTCAAACTTTCTTCCATTATATCTCAGAAACGGCTGGACTGAATTACTTGAAATTTACAGGGCACACTCAATATATTTAAACGCATGGAATGAACTATTATCAACTTCGATTTTTTTATAGCAAAAAACAAAAAATACGCCTAATTTGCAACTTTTATTTCAAATGTCTATCAAAAATCCAATTTTTTTATATTCATTTGATTATAGGTCATTCCGTGCTTTTACGCCTACAAATTAAAACGCCGTTTATTTTTTTTTTTCAGATAAGCCGATCAACCGGAATCATGAAGGAAGTGGGAGCTCTTTTTTTCGAGGCGGGGGTGTTCAGAGCGCTGTAACTCTAGTTTGACTGAATATTTTTAGCTGAAATTTTATATTTATACTGTCCAAATATGTGTTAATAAATGATAAAAAACTTGAAGCTCTAAATATTTACTGGTCGTAGAAAAAAAATCCTAAAATATCCCTAAAAAACAGGCCGTCACATAGGAAGACCCCCTTAAGTTCTTGCAAAGGAACAATTATGGTTTGCAAATGAGTTCAGCATTACATATATACATTAATATTTTTTAAGTATTTGAAACCAAAACATACCTCGTTCCAATTTCGTCTTAAGTATAACCAAACTGCTAGCCATGGCTGCTCTATGGGCCGAATTTTTAATTCCTAATTCAGTAAGATCAGCTTCCGAGTGATTAAGTAAATCTTCAACACCTTTGACATCATCAAATACCTTATCGTATTGCATCAATCCGAGGGCATCCAACCATTCCCTGATATCCTTGTGAGGGGCGGCGGCCTGGGTTAAGTCGGGCGATCCGGTGTCCGGAGGATCGCCTTTGACCGGAGGCCCTGTATCTGTTGCGCATATTAGGACAGGCTCTTCCGCCGATGTTACCGGAACAGGAGGAAGTTTGCGCTTTGCCAGATGTTTGGACGAGAAACGATGCGACCATGATAGACCTGGAAATAGTTGAATTTATTTGATATTGAGATTTTGTACCAAATATAATATTACGTAGTGGCGAACATAGTAGAGCTAACTTAGTAGAGTTTTCGATTCACACGACAGAGATTTTTCGATCAAATTCTGTCATTGACTTAGAATTTGTAAAAAAAATGTGTGTAGTTAATTTGAAATTAAACTGTTAAGGCATCGTGCCTTTAGGCAAATTGCTGGTACTTTCGGTATCGTAATTAAAAATCTTGGAACGGAACCTAATAAAATTTACACAGAATGTGTACACATTATGAAAATCTCTATAAAATATCTGATAATGTTATGTGCTTATGTATAATGATCATTTTTGACCGCCAAATGACATTTCTTTAACTTATTTTTATTGAGAGTCCATAATTGCTGCACCTACCTTCCCAAAAATTTAATCAGTTCTTCATCTTGTCAATACAAGTAAAATGTTTTTTGAATTATTAAAATCGGACGCTCTATTCTCTTAAAAACTGAGTTACTGTTTTTGGCACTTTTTGCCCCGTATCTTCAGAACGGCTAGACCTGCCTTCGCAAAAAACTAATCAGCACGTCTCCTTATCAATTCAAATCGACTGTTTTTTGAATTATTCAAATTGGTTGATCCGTATTCCCGAAATCGTCGACAAAAATTTGTATCCGCACACACACACACACATACATCCATTTTTTCTAAGGTATGCCAAAATGCCCAGAAACCTTTGAAACGCAAAGATATGCAAGAATTTTCGTTTTCGATTTTTTGCGGTTACTATACTTACTTATACTTGTTTATCTATGAACTTACTCTACGCGAAGTTAAAAAAATTGTATTTGTTGAGTAGAATTTGAAGAAAATTAAGAAAAAATATTGGAACTTGCTGAGATTAAAAGAAGAATGAAGAAAATAATGGAATGAAGATAGAAGTTGAAAAGAATTAGAAATTTAAAAAAAGATTAAAGAAAATAAAAAGAAGAAACATTAAAAAGAAAATAGAATAGGATATATATATATATATATATATATATATAGATTGATTATGATATAAATTTTTATTTATTATAAGCTCAGAGTAAACGAGGCCAAATAAAATTAAATAATAATAATAATAATAATATTACATAAACGAGCCCTACATGATATTCTCGTTGTATGAAAGTGCAAATGCAGCAACTAGATGCGTATATTTAATTCATAATTGCCTATATATTGAACAAAGAAATATCAAAAGGCTATTATCAGATAAGTATTGAAGATCAATTTATAATTATCAAGATAAGAACAATGAAAACCTATAAATGAATAATTGCCTATCACAAATCTTTCAAAACAATTCTCATTAGGTCAGTTCTAGAAATATATGATTCATTAAATTTGAATTACTTTACTTACATAATGAACATATCATAATAGATATGTTTTTCAGTATATTTTATAATAGTAATGATTATTTGTTACAGCTAATAAAAGTTTCTAATCAGTAATCATAATACATACTTAAGAATATAATTATATAATAACCCCTTGCATTATATTTTCATGTCGCCAACAATTAATTAAAATACAATATAATATTTTTATTTTTGAATTAATATATAATTTTTGATTCTGCTTATAAAAATCAATATTCAAGCTCGTCATATATTATATTTGCGTTTTTAAAAGCAACGAGTTACTTAAATTGTAATTTCTTCAATAAATTTTAATCATAGTATTTGAAAACCATTCTCCAGAAATCTATTAATGTTTCAGTTCGCTAAATATTGCGTATGATACATATCAAAATATGAAAAGATTATCCAAAATTGCAGATTAAAATTAATTAATACTCACCCCATTTGTTGCGAACTCTTTTAATCATTTTATTTATTCTATTTAATTTTTTGGTAGTTTTAGTACACATATTGGCAGATAATGTAACTTCAAACAAAAAATTTCCAAATAAATCATTTTATTCACTAAAGAATGCAAATATCAGTGGTAATGGCATATTCCAAGAACTGGGCAGTCTCAAAAACAGTTGTTCAAAAAAAGAAAACTCCCTACTTCTTATTGAAATTAAATATTGCCGAATTAATTTTCGATATTCCGTAAATAATAATTAAAAAAATCTCAATGATCAATGTATTTATTAAAATCTTGGTAACAAACTGCCACGTTCGTAAAACGATTGCAGATATAATATGTTGTATCATATGATAAGGTATATTTTGCAACAAATGGCTGTACTTCAAAATATCAAAATTCTGCATATGATAGTACATGGGAATTCTTCAAATTACGGATCATATACGTATTATGATTCATGTTTACAAGATATATCATATAAATTAAAGATGCTTTAATAACTATACAAATGATAAAATTGGTTAATGATAAATATGATATTGATTGGATATTTTTTATCAATCTTAAAAGTAGAGATAATAAATAGAATTTTTAGGATATTTTTCTTTATATTTTAATAGTTTGTAAAATAGAGATAATAAATTTATCCAAGATAATAAAAACTCATCTTATTTTGTGAGCTACAGTTATAACAATTAAAATGTACGAATGAATAGATTAATAAAATAATAAATCGAAAATAATAACTAAAATGCTTACAAAACATTTATATAAATAAGACTCTGGTTAAAATTAGTCTTTTAGCATTTCTTAACTCAATTCAATTCAATTCTAAAAATATGTATTTCAGTTCATAAAATGCATTACTTTGATTGACTTCTAGACAATTCAAAATATACAACGGTAAATAAAATAATGTTTTTTTGCTTAATATGTAGTAATTCATTCTCTTTTGGTCATATTATATATAAAAAATCAAAAATTGGGGATATTTTTGAAAAAAGAAACGAAACAGATAAAATCTGTGTTTTTGTACTTCACTGGATGCTAAATAAATATTTGATAAATACTTAGGTAAAGATAAGATTAGAAATAATTTATAGTATCTACGTATATGCCTAATATTGCTATCTATATTGATTTTTCTCCAGACACTGTGATTTAGAAATTTGTTTGTACTAATTGGCAATATTTCACAATAAAAATTAAGTTATATAAATTTAAGCATATGATATCAAAAATAACAAATTTAGTATCAAGCAAGTTTAGAAGAATACAATATATAATATACTCTATTGTTTACCATAGACAAATAATAAGACTGTTGAATACTGGTACCCTTGGATTTTTAGTATTTATAATGTTTTTTCGAAATCGTAGGGCAAATATATATATATATATATATATATATATAAATATATATATATATATATATATAAAATTGATTAAGATTGTAGTTTTCATATTTTTAAATACATTTAAAAAATTAGACATTTTAAAGCATAAGTTTTGAATAAAATTTTTTGAACAATCACCATATATGTACTAATAGTAAAATGAAAATAAAGAAAAGAATAAGTAAGTCTTAAATTATCTTATTATATGATCTCCATTCTATTCCATTGATTGTAAAATCATCTAAATTTGAATATAATATTAAATCTAAATATGCTATCTAAAAGCCAGGCGAAAATATTCTCTCTACAATCCGAATCAATATATTCAAGTGATGTCTTTTAAAAAAACTTAACAACAATTTTGTTACTGATTAAATAAACATTGTTTTTCTTTTCATATCTAATTTGGCGATGGGGAATAGAAATAATTTAATAAATATTTTTCAAGATAATCAAAGAACTAGATTCAAAAAAGGAAGATCCAATTGAATTTATTAAAATATATACCATAAATATATTCATAACAATTAGTTTATTTAAAATATTTTTACTTTGCAACGTACTTGCAATATCTTGTGCAAGTATAAACTTACCTTTCAAGGTAATTCCTATTCTTTTTCTAGACAACGGTATTTTCTTTAAATGGTATCATGTAACTATATTTTTACAATATTACAATATTATTATCGCGATGAACTATTGTAAGCTATTTTTTTTTATTTAAATTTTGATTTTGAATCTTATTAATTGGGAATGTTGGAAATTTACCGAGCGATATATCTCATGGTCTTATAGAACTTACTGAAATATTACGCCTTACGACAAGAAGTTTAATTTTAAAAATTCATCAAAGTTTGAGAAAATGATTAGTTTCTTTGACGTTTGAAAAAATTAAAATTAGGCGATTTACTTGGTATAACGATAGAGTACTTGGTCTTAATGAACATACTAAACCATTAAAGTCCTACCGAAACTGGTTCAATTACAAAAGTTATTGATACTTTTAAAAATTGCTTTTAGAAAATGCTCCGAGTTAACGTGTTCATTCGTTTTCAATAAATGTGTAATAAATTCACTCGGAATACTTTTAATCACTCATAAATTAATTTAATTTTTATTGATAAGTCGATTATTCACACCTATCGGAAAGTTTATGTAAATTGCCTCAAGACAAAATACCAATACCAACTAGTCTATAATTTAATCTCATATAGCTATAATTTTATATACCTATTTATTATATAGTATTAAATAAAGAAAACACAGTCGTATGGTTAAAAAGAGGGCAGATCATCTTAATTCAAAATTGTTTAAACAAAATCATTAATAAGCCTCCACTTAATACAAATATTTCACAGTTTATAGTTATGCAATCGTATCCAAATAGTTCTTGATCTTGATATATGACCGCTAATAAATAAATTATAATGTCGTTTGATCGCGGAGTTGTTTACAAAATTTATAATAAAAATCAATTGGAACAATTACTTAACGACTTCGGCAATTGAAAATATTGATTTGACTTGGACTATTTGAGGACGAAATACAAATACCGATATGATCAATGAATACAATGAATTATGTATGAATGGTAATTGAAATCGTTTGATGTTGAATTAATTCATTCATGATTTTAATATTGAAATATTTTATATATCAAATATATTTCATTAGTTGATCTATATTATTCACTTCATTAATAAATTATAAGTTAACCACAAATCATTAATTAATTTGAAATAAATAAAAACTATTAATATACTAGTTAAATGCATATAACTTATTTTAATTTTTATCCAATGACCTTATTTATAAATTCACTATTGGTATTATTTTACAGTGCATTTCCTGTTCGTTTTATTACAATAACCTTTTTAGCTACAAGTAGAAATTCCTTCAGAATATGAGTAATAATACTCATGTTTCAGAATCTATGTGTTCAGAATCATTCTTATCGCAAACAGTTATAAGAAGTAATTCATTCTGCGAATCAAAGGAACTCGATACCGCGGATTTATATTGCGTTGTATATAACATATTGTTATATAATCCTGGTAAAACAGAAAGGATCGTAATAATTGTGAAAATTTCAGAAGTAAACCGATGAACGATAAAAACTCTATGAAGGTTGTCGAGATTTTTCATAAAAATACTTTTTTTGTGATAAATTTTCTCTTCAACAAAAGCAACCACCTAAAGCTTGTCTATCTATATTTTATATATTAGATTTCTAAACATTTCTAAACATTTTCAAAGTTTAGGGCCAAGGTTTTTACACTAGCAATGGAAGCCTATTGCCTAGATTTAACATGAAAAAGATAGGATAGAATTATGGTATTTTCTTCGTAATTTAAGATTGTAATATTTATGAAAATTCAGAAGTAAACCGTTGTAGCTTGTCCAGACCTTTCGAAAAAAAAACTTTTAGTTTGAACAGCAATATGAACAAAATTAAATTATATAAAATTTATACATATTATAGCAAAAATAACAAATTTAGTATTAAGCAAGTTAAGAAGAATACAATATAAAATATACTTTATTTTTGCCATAGATAATAATAAGACAGATGATACTGGTACTCTTTGGATTTGTAATTTATAATATTTTTACCAAATCGTAGCGCAAATAAATATATAAATATATTAGGATTGTAGTTTTCATATTTTCATATAGATATTGTGTCATATTGAAGGTTAATCTATATGAGCTTTTATGATAAATCTTCTCCTCAAACAAGCAACCATCTAACGCTTATATTTTATATATTCTGTTAAAGAAATTTCTCTTATACTGATGATATATAATTTCAATTTGAAAGATTTACTAGTTAGCTTTACGGATTTAAAACAAATTTATTTGACAACATATTTTGATCTATTTTTCAAAGTTCAACATGAAAAAGATAGGATAGGAGGATACGGTAATTTTCTTGGAA